TGATAGTTACTATTTGTTAATCAACCTCTTTAGAGTTATGGGCTAGAATCACGTAGAATCCTAGCCGAGCCACGCTCAACAACTTTGTTGTTTACTGCCCAACTTGCCGGTCTGAATAATTTCAAATATCGAATAGGATGTTAAACCTAAGCTACTTAAGCTACCCAACAACTTTTTAATTCCCTTTAAAGCTACCTAAAGCTGCTCGTTCAATGTGAAATTCGGTTTGAAATATACGTAAGTGATAATATATTATTTATTCAGTTTTTCAACAAGATTGTATTTAAGCGTTACCTAATTTCAATAATTTGTTTTACTTTTCAACAAGTAATCTAGGAAGTAAAAAATTACAAACTAAGTAATCACGTAAGTACATGCACATGTTACAGTTCAGATTGACCAAACTATCGATTTTTACTACCATCTACTGAGTGGAGAATATTAAAACTTATGTTAAAAAATCCTACATTTACATTTACACTATTGTCACCCAGTGGACGGACAACTCAGAGAATGGAGGCCGCAGGCGGGGTAGGCCCCGATACGATCTAGACACCTATAGTCGAGACTGGTAGACATGGTCGAAGGATTGGCAGGTGTGGAAGCGAGATGGGGAGGCTTCTCCCTAGCAATAGCATAGCATTACAGGCTATTAAAATAATGTTAAAAAAATCCTACCTTTTTCCAATATTCAGATAGGCCGCTGTTGAAAACACGATTAATATTCATTCGTAGCCGGCACTAGGTTTATTTACACACGTACCTACAGTGGTACAGAGCACGCATGCGATGTAATTTGGATTGAACTTGTTGTAATTTATTTTATTCATATTCAGTTTCGCAGACAGACAGTTTTTTCAATATCTATTTTAAAAAGAGTGGCTGGTTCTGAACTTTATTATTGACAAAATATAAAAGTGTAATTCCACCGCGACCTTGGCCCAGACCAGGAGAAGGAACAGGGGGGTTTTTAGTCAGTAAGAGTCTGACACTCCCTCCCGCCCGGCCTTGGGCGGAAGAAGTCATTTGATGATTTTACCATCACAAAAAAAACCCGCGGCCATTCTCGGGATTTTATAATAACAGCATTTTTTATTGAATTACAACAATATTAGAAATCCGGCAGATCTTGTTGCGAAAAGGTCGGTGTAAAAAATCAAAATACTACTTGTAGATTCAAGCAATGAGTCCGACTGTAGACGGATTTTTTTAAACACAATAGTGTTGCTTCACTTACACACTAGAGATCATCTGGAACCAGGAAATGCAGCTGTTTTATCTTTGAAATCTCATAAAACTGTTGATACTGCGTCCTGACTTTTTTCCGATCGTGTCGGATCGGTGTCCCATAGGAACAGCGTAGTGAGGAAACAGTGCATTTTGTTTATTACATGTCTTTCTATGCGTGTGTAAGTACTTGTGCACGGAAATACTACATAAACATCCTTTGAGAACATTTTTAAATTGGCTTCGATTTGAAGATACGGTTTTTAATTTGATTTCTTAATTTTACTGCTTTGTCGAGTAGTCGCGAGGCGTGCTTACCCGTTAATAAAGTGTTATATTGCATTGTTTTTTTAATCTTTGCTAAACAGTACTCATGTATTTATACTACACTAAGTGTAAGAGAGCCATGCTTCAGTACGAATGGCTCGGCTCTACTGGAGTGATACCACGGCCTCACAGAAAACAGCGTACAGCGTACAGCGTTGTGTTTCGCCGTGTGAGAGAGGCCCAATCCCTAAATATCCAAATCTTCAATCCCCAAAAGGTTGGCAACGCACTCGTAACCTGCTCTGTCCATGGGCAGTGCTGATTGCTTACCATCATATCACTGGTACAACATTTAGAAAAGACACAATACTTCTTCGGAAAAAGACGAGTAACATTGCTTAATGTTCCTCTGCTTCTTAAAAGAACAAAAAATGCGATGAAAACGTATGTTGTTTACGTACATTTATGTCGAATGACGTCTGGCAAGCGTTTACCTCGTTACCCATGTCGAGCCATTCAGAACACACATGGTGGACTACAACAATTTACATAATCCACATAATTTATACAACGCAGCCTTTCAGCGGCTTGAGCGGTGACGCGTGTTGTTTGCTCACATGTTAGTAGGTGTTAGGTTTGACTACAGCATTTATTTTATATAAATGAAAATAATGGCAACGCTGGAAATGGTTATACAGGAAATGTATAAACAGATTTTATAGAAGGCTCTTTTAATTTCTATAAAAATGTTTTAATTTCATTCTCGGTGGGTACGTGTATGACAATATTTGGAGGTTTAAAGCATGTTATGTTAAGGTCCGAAGGTTTAGGCTCCGGCTTTAGGCATGAAGAGTTACGGGTTCGAAACCTTGACTTATAATTTCTGATTATAAGTAATCGCTAATCCGCTCTTTATTTATAAAGCTCAATATGCTCTATCCTTTTCCTGTGTATCCTTCTTCTGTGAGAAGACACCTTCACTCCGTTGTGGGCACATATAGGCCAATGATGATACACGAAGAATATAATTCCTTATGTCGTTTTACAGTTTCTGCCCACCGACACGTATGATAGCTGCAATCGGCGTGTATAGTTAAATATTGTACTGCTTCAGTATTCAGTTCGCGCACGCTATGAAGCCTTAAACTTGACATAAGTTTTATTGAAGTTTATTGAAGCAACAACAACACACGAAGTTGTTCTTACATGGCTCTTAAAAATAACATCGTTTTAGGAAGTTTTCTAATGCATATGCATTTTCTATCTGTATATAGACGAAGGAAAACATCATGAGGAATCATGGACTTGTAATTTCTATTTAGAACATGGAATTTAACAATCCGCTTTCAGCGTGGTGATTAATGCTCAAACCTTCTCAGTATGAGAAGAGGTCAATAGGGACTTACAGGCTGATGGTGTGATGGGATGTGATGTAGGAACAGTAAGCTACGTAGCGTGATTGCATGAAATGGAAATCGAACATATATGTATACAAATAGTTATGCCGTGTTACAGAAAATCTTTTTTTGTGGCAATAGGAACACTGTTATTTTATAAAATTCTCCAGTCTTACAACCGGTTTCCGAAAGGCCGATCAATGTCAAAATCAATTTAATCTCTTGTCAAGTCATCTGATTGGTTGACTGAATTATCGACAACCAATCAGAGGACTTGACAAGAGATTTAACAAGAGATTAGTTAATTTTAGCGTTGACAAGCCTTTCAGAAACCGGGGGTTAGTTTACACATAATACTTTTTAATCTTAAAATTGCATTAAAGGCACGCGCTCGCTTTTAATAAATTGTAAATTCCTTTCTTGACAACTCTATTCAATTGAGTTTGATCCGTCCAGGCTTCCAAGTCGGAAACTCTGACTACTGGACCAGGATATGTAAAGGATCTAACACGAAGTCTTACCACAAGCCTTGATTTTTTTTCATCGTCACTATTATATTTACAAACTTACAAGTTGAATATATTTTTACACTATATATTATATATTTTGACATAACAATAGGTAATATGTATTGCTCTACTAGTAAATAAACCTGCAGATTGATATCGGTGAGTTTACCGTTGGCACGCCCAAACGAGTTCAATAAACACATTGGCTTTTGTCAAAGGGAAAGAGAATGTGTATTAAATATTTATATATTCGAGTAATTTATTGACTGGACGTAAACAGTGAACGAAATGCACATACATTTTATTACTTGTTTGCCTGCAACCTTATTAAGTTAAATATTTCAGTTGTACCTGTATTTTATGGCATAAAATTAAATAGAATACTTAGTCTTTGTTTATTTGGAGTTTCAGATATGAAATTGTTTTCGAATACGATATTTCCAACTATCCCGATTTCCAGAAATTATAAGCAGGAAAAGGAACAGGGTTTTTTTTGTCAGTAAGAGTCACTTCACAAGACTCCTACCCGCCCCACCCTGGTATCTACTTGTAATATTCCGTATATGTAGCCACATTGCCAGAATCTGAATACAATAAGGTGTGGACCAATAAGTACAATAGTGTCATAGAAAGTACATCTCTCGGATAACGTCACATTTGTACTTGCCAGGTTTCGAAACCGCGCCCTCTTGCATGACATGCCGTAACCTTCGGGCCACCACGATGTTACACAGTTATAGTATGAATTTGTCGTTAAGTATATTAATTACTTAACTCAGAAATAGTTCTAGAATTTTTCTTTCTGAACTACAGGTTAAGAACGAAGTTAAACTTTTAATACGCTTGTTAACTCAGCTCGTTGCACGTATGCCTTGATTGCAGTTTCTATAGAATACACGTCGAGATTTCTCAAAGGCACCATTCGGGTCGGGGACTACAAATAGGTCTAAACTTGAAACTTCAGGGATTATAAATTCTGTTTTATGTATCATAAGATCTTAATCGTTTTGTGTTATCGACATACTACTGTAGAGTACCTAATGTTTTTTGTGTTCAGATGTGCAACTTTCAGATTATAACGAAGCATAAAGTCTGTTAACGTTTAAAAATAAAACTTGTCACATGTTATATTTACTTTTTTTTCTTTTGTCTCCTAGACTTTATTTATATGTTTCACTATTTATGTTTACCTCGTGTTGTTATTAGCTGCGTAATATGGCACGTGTATCATTAGAGTATAAAGTTTGTTTATTTTTTGCAATTTAGTGACCGTCTTTAGAGACACGCCTGTTGGGTCAAAGTCAAAGATAGCCTTTTCACTTGGCGTGGGATTATCTTGAAGGGACAGGGTTTGTTGAAGGCTCAACCTCGGCCAGCTCTAGTATACCCCACAAAACTCTTAAGTATATGTAAACTCGAAAAATGATCTCCGGCAGCCGTAAGACCGGGTCTTCGGGAGAAGTAACGGGCATTTTTAGTCAGTAAGAGTCTTACACTCCGTCCCGCCCCACCATGGGTGAGAGAAGTCAGTTAATGTTTTTCCCCTCACTAAAAGAAGCTTATACGTACCAGCCTACAACAAGGACTTGTGTCATTCCAGGGTTTGCTTGCTACGACCACCTCCAGAAGCTGTCTGCAGATAGGCTGCTACCCACGATCCTTAAGGTGTCGGTCGGAGCCACGATCGCTTTCGCCATGGAGATCAGCGAGTTTCTAGTCGTAACCTACACATCTAGTCTGACGTTATCCATCTCAGGAATTTTTAAGGTAATTATAGATTTTTTTTTTGTTCAATACTTGAATCTTTTTGTGCCATGCTGGAGAATCCCCTTTACCGATAGATGTATAAGCAACTACTTGACGATCAAAGCAACAGTCCTTACTTTTTCAATTTCTTTCATATACACACTTATCATCATCATCATCAGCCTATAAGTCTTTATTGCTGAGCAAAGGCCTCATCCACGGAGAAGGTTTGAGCATTAATCAGCACACTTGCTCAATGTGGGTTGGTGATTTCAAACTTATAATTGCAAATTATAAGTCCAGGTTTCCTCACGATGTTTACCTTCACCGTATGTCAGTGATCATAGAAAGTATTTATAACTCGGAAAAGGTCACATTGGTATTTGCCAGGTTTTGATACCACATCCTCATCCATGAGAAGCGGGCTCCTTAACCTCCGGGCCACCACTACATAATTAAATAAAAAATACACACTATACTATGCTAAATCTATAACTAAAACATTCCAGGAAATGTGCATTCTGGTGCTGGCGGTGGAGGTAAGCGGGGACGTCCTCTCTCCGATCAACGTGGTGGGGCTGGCGGTCTGTCTGCTCGGCATCTGCGGCCACATCGTGCACAAGGTCATCTTCATCAAGTCCGTGGCTGGGACCATCCAAGCCGTTGACGAGGATTTCGACAAGATCCGACGGCCATTGAAGATAACAGGCGAGCATGATAAACCTCTTCTAGAAGACCAGACGTGGCCCGCGAGCGAGGAGAGCGACTTCGATAGCAACGTGGTACTTTTCGAAGTACTACAGCGCCGTGACGGTAGGTAAACAGGTCCCGGGAGTTCCGATTGGTCACCTCATAACGACGACGGGAGGGGAATTTGTCCGGTTTTCATTTATACCTAACGCAATCGCTTTTTCTCTATTTTTTCTGATGGAATGAACATGCGCATGTTGCATGTTACCGTGTACGTTACATAAGTAAATATGTATTTATTTTTTATTCGTTACATAAAATCTATGTAAGAATTTCCATTGGACAGCATCTTGCCGAGATTACGATTCGAAGCGACGCAGCCACCTGATACGTTGGTAAAAGGGAGTCTAAAGTATTTTTCTGTCTTGATATTAGTATAAGATATGACCTTCAAGAAGTAATTACGGTATCCGAGCGTTGTACTAGTACCTAATTGGTGAAAACATTGGTTGGTCATTTGAAAACTTGAGCAAATCGCCTCTCCCACTTATTTCCATTATTTACATTAAATAGATACTACCAAAGTATTAGCTCATTGTAAAATTACAGTTAGATACATTAGAAATAGCAATGTTTGCACTTGGGTACTAGTAAGTACTTACTTTTTATGGACTTAGCCATGGCACACTTGGTAGATGTTTCCTCTCAGTGTTTCCAATTGTCTGTAAAACTCCTTTCTGTGTTACGATTTGAACGATGTAATATGAAACAAAATGGGGATTTTCTAAAATATGGTGCCATAAGTAGAATATGCAGACAGCTCTTTATTTATCTTATGCACGTAACCGAAGAAATTTTATCGATATGTAGTGAATAGAAATGGTATAAGAAAAAGAAGAATTATATTACACTAAAACAATTGTTTTAACATCATCCTTGGGATTGGCTGAGATACCGATATGATGCAAGATGACTCAGCCGCAAAAGCGAATGAATAAAATTTCTATTCATTAAATCGACTACCTACTAAATGTCGATTAGCTCATAGAGCTGAGCAGAAAGACTCAGTAATTAAGAGCTAATTTAGGAATTTCTTAATTGTAATTTTCAACTTTTTTACCAATGTATAAGACAGAAAATGAGTTAAAGAAATTCACGTCCTATCGACGCTACCAACATTTTTCTAAGGAAGTGAAAGATGACGTTTAAATTTTTCGAAAAATTGATCTACATATAAATTATTATTATTTAACACATATATAGCTGCAGATAGAAAAAGACATTAAGGATTAAACTTTAATGAAGCAAGAATGAGACAAATATGTAATGGTTTTGTTTCGTAAATAAAAGTTTTTAAAACTCCATCCAAATGTCCCTAACAAATTCATTCATTTTAGCACAAAATTGTTGCCTAGTTTTTCTTCCGTGTACATTTCATCAATGCCTAATAAGTTCAAATCGTGACACAGAATTGAGTATAAATTTTACCCTTACATGAATTTACCCTAGATAGTTTATTAGTCCTCTTTACGTACTTCTAGATGGTATTTAAACACTGATGCTCTATTCGATAAAAGTATTATACTCTACAGAAACAGCCCGTACTAGCCACTTAGTATTTCGAACCATCTACTCGTGTACATCTGATCAATCTATGTATATTATTTTGAAATAGTATAAAGTTATTTCTATAACTGTTTCATTTACATCGCTATTTATTTTGTTCATTCATAACCACTGTATTGCCTGTGGTCAGTGTAAGTACGTAGAAAATTACTAGAAGAATGCCTACATTAATTTTAAAATGTAAACGGTTTATTTAAACTGTTCGACAAGGTTACTTCAGAACTGCAACACGCGTGCCAAAAGACGCGCTGCAAGGCGTGAGTCGTGGCGCTTGCAAGCATGTAAGTTGACCCCGTCGAACAGATACGTGAGTAAGCCGTTTCACGCAATCAATTAAACATTAAAGCGATATTTTCACGACCCTTCCATACACATGTACCAGTCAGTTATTTATTAGTTTGGTTTAAACTACATACCAATTGGGAAAAGCTTACGAATATCTGTTCAGAAGAAAGCACATTAAGTTACCCGTCTACGCCAATTTTTTTTATCCTCATCGAAATTATTTCATACTTTCTTCTTTTAATACTTTTGAACTAGCTTCAAGGATGACCCTTAACAGGTTGTGATCTTCGAAAGAATCTGTTTCCACAGACAGAATCTCGTCATCATCGTCACCTCTCCTTAGATGAGGCATGAGAGCATTCCTCATAGGGTACATTCCTCAGACCATCATTGGATAAAACGGATGAACACTTAAATAATCCTTGGCTAAAATACTAGTCCATCTGTGATTTCACATAGAAGGATACTTAATGTGCTAGTATCTTTAAAATTTCCAAGTCAAAACTACACATAATATTTGCATGTATTCCGCTAGAGAATTTAGTTTCAGTGTAGATATAGAGATGTCGCTGTATGGTCTATACATGTATGAAGCATGATTAATATTGCATTCATTATATTTCATTGCTGCACGCTATATCGCTACAACTTAATTGTTTAGAGGAAAAGCCTTTATTCACTCTAGATAAGCTAATAGTATATTGTATTACCGACATATAAATAACTGATTAGTTATTTATTTGTTATTTATAAACGATTGTTTATCCACAAAGCAAGGGCCGTAATTGCCCACTAGCGCCACCATAAAAAGATTGGTGAACGAACTCCTAAAAATTGTCTGAATACTATTTTCCTCTGAATATTTAAGTGGTTTTCATCCAATTCTTTGATTTAGAAAAGGGACTTGGGATTCATTCATCATATTGGTTCCTGGTAAGCAATCAAAGCAAATAGCCAGTAAGCCAGGTTATCATTTCCGTCAGTTATTGCCTTTCTCAGTCGATAAGGCATAAAATTCTTTTGAGAAACGCTTTGATCATTCAGCTGCGACGCCGATGAAGTTTGAGCAGTGCCCTCCTCCTAAATAGGTTCAAAATTGATTGTCTTTTTCTCTATTTAAAAGCACATCTTATGTATAGTAACCTAATATTTTAATAAGAAAAGAGCTTGAGGAGAGTACATCAGCTGGGCACACGAATATGATTAAAAATCTGGGCTTTAATAACGTCTGATCGCAATATCGCATATTTATATGAATTTAAATATTCAAAAGTGGAAGCCATGCTTCGGCAAAAATGGGTCGGTTTGACCGGAATGATTCCGCGGCCTCACAGAAAACCGACGTAAAATAACCATAGCTTTTTGTTTCGCCCTGTGAGTGAGGTTACCGGAGGCCCAAGCCTTTCTCTCCCACATCTCTCAAAGCATTTTACAACTTATCTGACTGAGAGAAATTAGGTTAAATAAATCTGTCGCTGGCTAACGGGCTATTGCAATTAAATATATTACAACAGCCTTTTATTGCCAATTCACTGCTGCATCTTTATTTGTGCAACGGGTTGTTCTTATAAGAGTACAATGCATTCCCAGAGTTTCACAAAATGTCAACCGATTTGATTATTTCACCATGTACTTTCTACTGTATTTCGCATCTGTCTTGGCGTTAATTTGGCGATAACACTGCCATCTAGTTTGTTTTTAACGCGATTTTTTTTTTGCAAGAAATACCTTTTTTCAACCATTTGTTTATATTGTAATTAAATCTTATTACAAGATGCAGTAGTACTGGACATTATTTAGATCAGTGATGGGCAGACTCCGAAATGTAAAATTGAAAGCTTTTAATAGAAAATAGATTAAATTTATACTTGCTTACAACTCTCAACCGAAGAAATCAATAAAATAAATTTGGGTCATATCATATAGTCTGGATTGAATTGCCTGATTTTTTTTCTAACTGGCCTGTTACAAAGAACCATTGGCTTGCGAGGTCCTAAGTTTTCCTGACACTGCTCTAGATTTGACAGACATATTCTTGAATATACATATAAATCCTTATTTCATAGCTACACAACTCATTGCTAAGTTCTAACAAAGTTCATAAGCCCACCATATTTATCTATATATTTTTTGGTTTATTTATAGTTGCCAAGTATTGTAGTCGTTGGACCAACGGTAACTTCCAACGACAAAAAACAGCTTACGAGTAGTAGCAATGTGTCAAGAACTGAACAGGCTACTTCAGTGGCTGTGCGGATACTAAGTGCCTGGAATTATGATTACAGTGCAACCGTTCGAACACTGGACAATTTTCAATCTAAGTATACCGTACCGTTTACTTTTTCTTACTTACACATAATTTTATTAATACAATACGTATCTACGACAATTTATAGTTATTTCAATTTATTTTTTTATTACAATCAATATATATATATTAATATTTCAACAACATAAAATATTATTTTAACAAATAAATTTAATGTAACGCACAATTTACTGTAGCATTTCCAAATAAATTATATTGAGGCAAAGTATCGGATAGTTCTCCTAATTTTTTGTTATGTATAAATGTTTTTTCGTTAACAAAAACTCCCAGGTGGTTACAGAAACTTCCTTAAGTTAATAAATAACATAATTGTCGTAGAATAATTGATACATATTATAAGTATCACATTGTGTAACATACAGCTAATAATAATGATTATAACCGATTCGTTGCGACCAAATCGTTGGCCAAGCCATGCGCCGTAGACTTTATATACTGCTTTTAAACTTTTGAAAACCAACTGTACCCCCAAATATATAAGTACTTGAAAAATAATGCAATTAAAGCAAGTAAAAATGTTTTAGCACATGGCACGAAAATTCATGCGAAGCGAGTCGGTTCAAGATTCAAGTTTTCAAGTGATATCAACATAGAGATATCCAACATTTTATCAGAACGTTAAGGGAAAATTATTCGATTAAGGGCTGATTTTTCAATAGTCAGATAAACGTTATCCAAGGAATAAAATTGTTGCTGTCACTTTCTAATACAAACATTCTGACGCGACAGCATCATAATTATTCCCCATGTAACTTTTTCTAACCATTAAAAATTAGCCCTTATTGACTTTATATACACATACATATTTGAAGTTTTTATAGGTGTTTATTGTATCTGTGTATTAATGTTTTACTAAATAACTAGTATCCAATAATATACCTAACAATTAAAATATTGTAGTTGTAAATTAAGGAGGGTTGATATAACGTCGCGGACTTTTTGGAATTAGAACAAAATGAAGAGATGTGGGACTAAATAGGAATTAGTGTAATCATAAGCTTTTTAAAATTATATTTGTATTATATAGCTTTTAATATATATCGAATCACAATAACCTACTATTTATGCTACTTATAGTTTTATCATGTGTATTTTATTTGCTTTTGGGATCGCTTAACTACACAATCAACATTCAATTCCTGTATAAACTTAAAGTAAATTGCTCGTTGTGGACAGGCAGCTACAACAAATGTATCTCTCTTGTTCTATCCCCCATTGACAGACAGAGAGACATGACAGACAGAGAATGACAAGGACAGTTTACCATAACAAACAAAAAAAAAATACTTGGACTTAGGATTTTTTACGTCGTCGTCAGCTTAATCATGATTGGTTGTATTGTGTAAACGACCTCAATCAGCAACTAATTATCTACGTTATCCTACTCATAACAAATGTTTGGCAAAATCATAACAAGCTATAGAAAAGAGGGCTTTACATGTAACATGTGCTCCTCTCTACTCTCCCCTTCAGGGAGAAAAAGGTCTGATGATCATTTTCGGCGACGCTGTTTAGCGTGTTAAAAAATATACGAAATTATATTAAATATAGAATAAATATTTCAAAAGTGAGATTAATATAAAGAAAATTAGTATAACAGTTTGTATGTTTAAACAACTACAAACTGAAATTTTAGAAAAAAAATGGAATTTTAAATTAAGGGCATTTAGGAGTGAACGTTCTGACGTAAGTTTTTATAAATAGTATTGGGCTTGAATAGAGCATGCCAGCACCCATCATAAATTCAAATTAGGAACTTCTAGTGGTGTGTCCATCGCTGAATAATTATTGTATCGAATATTTTACACAATTTTGCCGTGGCAACCATATTCACTCACACAAGTTGCCCCGACATACAAATTCATACCAATCGGAACTCCAATGAAGCACATCGAACCACCTTTATCCAAATTTCTTTGGAAGACTTCCAACCTTATAGTTCTGTAATTAAGGTGAAAATCTTTTAGCATTTTGGCAGCTTAAAGTAGCCAACGCTGTCGATTGCATTTGTACAGAGCAGGTTTTTAAAAAGTATTTTGTAATAAATGGATATTTTTATATTATACCTACTTATTAAGGTAACTTTGTTATGATAAGTTTTTAAAAAGATATTTAATAGTTTTTTTTATTATTGTTGTTTTTTTATTAAAATATGTCTTAGATGTATGAGATTAATGTGAAGAGGTCTTTAAAATGCTTTCTTATTTCTTGTATCAGTAAAATTCCCCTCTAAATTAAGTTTTAAAAAAGTAACAATGTAATGCGATTTTGTAAAAAAAATATAAAAAAATGTTTACAATGTAACTATTATCGCTTGATAAATTCGTTAGTTCAATAATTATGTTGAACCATGTAATCGGCATTTTATTATATTCTTGTTGTTTGTGATTGTAACCTATTTACATTCCATTATATACAAAATTAATTGGTGTTTAATTTTAGAAATAGTTATATTATGACATAAAATGCTTTGACTGTTTTGTAATCTTTGTGTGAATGTATCTTGTGTCTTTATAAAGTGTTGTGTTTTTGTTTTCCTATATTTTTTTTTATTTAGAATGTGATGCATTTCATGGGCCAGGTTCTATGCCTCTCCTAAATTAAAATGTTGAGCAACAATTAACATGTTTCCTAAAACTTACATTCCTAAATGATTCTTTAATTTAGTTCAGTTTTATTTGTACCTTAAATCGACATGTTTTATGTACATGCGAGGAGAAATTACATTAAGAGTGTAACTATAGATACAGCAATTTTAATAATTGCGTTAAAATAAGAATTTAACAATGAACATTTTTAATGAAAGTCAAATTTAAATAAACGAAATTATGCATTTATGCGAATTTTACATACTTATAAATAATGAACTAGATAACAATATTTGGAAAATTGTATTTTGATGTGCCTTTTATTTACTTATATTGAATTTAATGCACATAGAATAGTGCCAAGTGACAAAACGAAAGCGAATCAGAGTGATTCTGTGAACTCATTAAGTTATTATAACAATACAATAAAAAAATCAGCAAAATAAAAGGACTGTTTTCAATTAAAAACAAAATGGATCCTTTTTACAAAATGTGTATATTATTTTTAAACTTTATTATGTACACTGATTTCAGTATTGGGTGTCGGAATAAGCCCAAACTATAAATAGTATAACCATCTAATCGAATTTAATAGTGTATAAATTATACATTTAACAGTCTTGGAGAAAATAACGACTAGAAAACCATTTCGACGTAACGAATAAGCTGTATGAAAATAAACTGTATATAGCTTAACCAAATAAGTAAATTTGTCTCGAAAAGACATTTTTCCTTTGATACCTTATTCATTTTGTCCCCATTACCAGCAAACTATATATTAAATAATCAGTCTCCGTTTCAACGAATATTTGCATCAAGTTTTTTATATAATAATAATAATAGTAGAAAGAAAGAATTGTGTGTTTCAGAATTTTCTATAGGTAATTAATGTGTATACTTACAAATTTTGCAATCGTCGACATTTATCGTTGGTAATGTCTGTCTGTTTTTATGATCTACTCACACAGAAATGCTAATACTTCTAGGTATAAGAAGTTGATATTTATGCATTAGTAATGTAAATAACTTACAATAAAACATACATAATAAAATAACACAAGTGTATTCCAAAGATTGTGAAGTACTAGATTTGTGTCGGCGATTGTAATACTATAATAATTAATTTATTATAATTGTTATTTAGATAAAACATTCGCTGTATGTACTGTTGTTAGCATTGAAAACTTTGGCCGTGCCTGTACATAGAGTTCGGATTGCAATCAATAGATGGCGTTGTGTACAATATTTCAATTGCCAATTTCATTAATTACATCATATATTAAGTCATCATATATCATATGATTAAGGCTCATACAAAAGTTAAAGTACTTTTATAGTAGTTAACCCTCAAGCAAGCAACAAATATTGTCCAATCCTAATTCTGAAGTACAGGTCACAATATTGTTGTTACCGCTGATCTCAATTAGCTAAACGTCTTCAATACTATCAATATTAGCTTTTTAGTGTGAAAAATAGTCACTTTATTTGTGAGGATAGAACGCAGGTTTTTAGACCGTCAAATAAGAATCACTGTGTCAAAAGGCATTAAAAATTTTCAAAAAAGAACTTTCTTTTATTAAACACTTTAGAAGTCCTTTTTGTTACCTACCAGACTCATCTGTAGCACATGCGATCTGGAGATTCCTACTCACTTTACAGGTTTATACCCAATTCAAGGATGGTTCTATAAGCCAATGTACAATTATTGTTTTCTATCTATAAAAACTAGAAACACAAAACGGTTTTATTGTTTTATACGATAAACAAAACACAAGTACACAAACATTTAAATTGGGTGTTCTAACTGAAATAAAATATCGAAAAAACATTGCATGCAAAGGTGTATAAAAAAGTAAATACCTGTATGGATGAGTCTGTTGTAATAACAGTATTTAAGAGATAAACCATATGCGATTTGTGTTACCGCCTTTTTTTAGTTTGAAAAGTTGCAGTATGCTCAACCAATAGATGGAACTAACTACAATGATACCCATATCGGTCAATAGATGGCAGTTATCCCAATAGTATGAGAGGACTTTTTTAGAGAATACAACTAAATAAAAAGTATTTTCGGATTGGATTGGATAACTGCCATCTATTGGTCGATAGAATACAACTAAACAAAAAGTTCTTGATGGTACGTTTATTAAGCAGTAGGTGACATTTAGCTAAAAGATTTTTATATCGGCCAATAGATGGCGTATATCTCAATGCTTTTTATATCGGTCAATAGATGTCAGTTATTTCACATCATCATTATATTTGCCAATAGAAGTAAGTTACCTCAACTCGACATATATTTACAATTGGGTAGCAAAAAGTTATCAAAAGGCCAGGTTATTTCAGAGCAGATTCAAGTACCAGGTGGCGCTACGTGTCAAATTTATTACAGGACACTTCGAAAAATTCAACTCCTATTTCCAAAAACGAAAAATTATACCGTTGTAGTGTTGAGAAATATAAAAAAGTCATCGAGACACTACGTGATTATTTATTGATTAAATATGACTACAAAAATGTTAAGAGTACAACTTACATTAATCTTATAAACTAATGTTTGATCTTAGATCATTAGGTCGTTAAAAATCATCACAACATTTATGGGGCACATAAAGAGTAAATAATTAAATAATAACAACATCTTTGTATCAAATACATAAAAACAGATAATTAAATGTTCTCAAAATATCAAAATGTTAAATCAATCTTTTGAGCATATAGGTACTTTTACAATAATACGTGTACTGACTACTGTTGTTATAGTCGAATTCTAATACTTAGGTATATAATAAATAAATAAATTGGTAGGAGACTTCTTCCTACCCTACTACCCTTATCACAAGCTATTTTTGGATACGGCACAATGACTTATTTTTCACTCGCTCCTACCAGACACATAACAACAATCTCTTTCTCCAACTCTTTCTTCTCTCTTTTCCATTTCTATCTTTCTTTTTCTCTATTCCCCATCCACACTAAAGGTAGTTAAATAAATTCAGAACAAGACGAATCTCAAAATATAGTGTCTAGTTCCGACATACCTACACAGCCAGCTACAATTTACTATAAAATACAATTCCAAAAATCTTAAAGATAACAAGATAGAAAAATGTCTAGGTACATACAAATATTTGATCTCGGATCGATCACAAAAAGGTTTGAAAATACATCACAAAGTCATTATATTATTAAATAGTTAAACGACATTATCATTTTCGTATCAAATACACTTAAAAAATTATGAATATGTCGGCAGTTGACGGGATAACCTTACACAATCAGACTTGTTGATTTGAGACTTACCTTAGTACCTACCTACATACATACTTGGGTAGGTACTAACCTATCTATGCTACTATCTCCGTCTAAATGCCGACTGCCTAGATTACATTTAAAACCTACATTACATTCCATTACATTACATTATGGTATAGTACGGTTATATTGTCAGTCACTAACTTACACATTGACACCTAATTCACTTGTAAAGATTGCCTGCATATGTTGACGCTCTTTTGTTAATTAAAGGGTTGGGATGCCAATTGCGATTATACATTTTATTATAAGAAATCTACACATTTAGATAAGCAATAAATTAAAGCTGATTATTTACATGGAGTTATTTGCATTATTTCAAAACATGACTAGATGAGTAAAAAAATGACTAGGTTTCCATATTAAATGTTAACGATTCAGTTTCAAATACTCGATAATAAGTTCGATAAGTAGGCCCGGCAAAAAAAACCTTGAGATGTACGTAATAATAATCAACATCGAAGAAGAAAATGGAATGACAAAATGGAGCGAGTTGAAGTTTTAGTTCGGAATATCACATGCGGTTTTTTTTTCTTTAAATATAAAAAAATCCAATGCGTTTTTGTGTCTCTTCAATATTTATGAGAAAATAACATTTCCAGCTTCCCGATTTCTGTGCGTTCCTGAAAAACAGAGAGAAAAAAAATATTATTAACACAGTATAGCAGTGTCTAAAACGACCAACTTTTTCTCAGTTTTGCGTTAGCTACCTTAATCCTAATTCTCTTAAGAATGTGTTAAGTATCCCCGCATTAAGTATGTGTTAATCAATTCTCACAAGCCCATAAGTAAAATATCGATACAAAATATACTTAATTGTTAACAGCTTAAGGTACACCTTAGGTCAAAGGTAAGTACTTCAGTTTTTTTAAATTTGGTTATTTTTTATATCTAAAGAAGATTATATTGCTTACCTTATATTGGTGATAAGGACTAGAATTCTGTGTTTTAGTATCTTTGAGATTCTTGAGCAGTAATTTCCGGGCCTTTACTGTTTCTTCCGTTGCGTCCGGAGACATGGAGTCGGCCATTATACGGCCTGCCAACTTGATAACCTCATAGCGCTCGGCGTCTGTGCAGTGCCGCCAGTACGGAATCGCCTCAGCAACGCGTTGCAGGGCATAGGCGTTGCCCTGTACGAGGTCTTCTATGGTCACTACTACGTCCTCCAGCTTATCCGTGTCCACACTGGCGTCGTTGGGTATATCCTTAGGTTCACAAGTTTCGTTCTTGCCGCAATACTTGATCACACCAATTTTAATGGCACTGCCACTTTCTTCAATTTCATTTTTAACAGCGTCAGTTATTTCACTAGTCGGGGCAGTACTACATTCGCCAATTTTCTTATACTTATTGATTGCAATACCAGCGTCAGGGCACGCGTTATGAATTATAGTTAGCAAGGCGGTGTAGCACAGACAGCTCGCCAAGCGGTCGGCGCCGAGTCGCGAGCCGTTGATCACCATGTCGCTAATATCTCGCCGCATCCGTGCATCCGGGAATGATGACACTATCACATCCAATAAATCCTTCACCTGTCAGCCACAACGACATCAATGAGTGCTATGGATAAAATCGTTATATCTATTTCATCTATCTTAAGCAACTCACCTGTGCCAGACTCGCGTGGTAGTCTAGGAGCGTCTGCAATGTTCGTGCAGCAACTCGTTTTACATGCGATTCTCTGGCCATGGTAGCAACTAATGCAATTACGCAGGCGCCCAGCATTTCACTGTCGGACCACCCGAAGTCGGCTGGCGGAATGATGCGGTCGCCAGTATCAGTTGTTAGAGCGACGGTGAGTTTTGGGAGCCGATCAGGTAACCTGTCCAAGCTGACACCGCGTTGCACCAGGTACGGTCCCATCGTGCTCCACAACTCGCGAGCTGTTGGGATGGGGCGCTGAGCTGGCCACAAGGACCCTTGTACCTCAATTAGACCAGCTTCCTGCAGCTCGGCGTCCAAGTCGCAGCGAGGCTCGAGCTCTGTGGTGTCTATAGTCTGCAGCTCCAATTTAAGCATCCGCATCTTTTCTCGCTCTACCACTAGCTCCTCTACTGGTGGTATTATGAACTGTTGACAAATACGTAAGGCATTACTCATAAACAAAATTATATTTAGGTACCTATTGTAAATAGTTATTGCTTGACTGTGCAAAGTCCACCTCCGTATCCTCTGTAATGTAGTCTCCAGTAAATACTCGGATTTTTGATATTCTCCATACAAAGCAAAACACAATTGTATTCTGGAATAAAGTCAAGTAGGTATTGTAAGATTGCTATCTTTCTGATTCAGATGGGGAAGGGAGAAGGCAGAACAGTTTTACGAACATTAAAAAGATAAAGTAATAGCCCCATAGGTACCTTTGTATTATCATCATAATCCTTACTGCAACTCGGTGATGGTTCGAATAAAGTTATGTTTGGCAAATTATCATATTCTTCGTCGCTGCTCATCTTTCTTAATATTCTTTAAAGATATGCAAAATACTAATATTATAAAAGTGCAAGTTTTGTGTGCTTACAACACAATTAATACCTAACAATAGAATTATGGATTTAAGTCTCTGATAAAATAAATAAATTAAAACCCCCAAAAAAAGGAAAACTGACTTAAGTAGAATTCAGTTGTTTTTGGTGTTTAAAATATTTTGGTAAGCTTATTTTTAATTTGGACTGAGTGTGTGTACAAGAAATGTATGTAGGTACTTAGTATGGAAAATAAATAAAAAATAATTCTTCAGTGTCACTTAAAAAAAGACTTAGAACAGGTATTTTTCCATCATTAGGTCACATCTGTACAGACAGATAGGGGTAAAGCACTTGGACCCTAAAAAGTAGCTTAGTAAAACAAATACTCTAACACTTTTTCTATTCACCGCACAGCTTAAGCTATACAATGTGAATATAATTACATGTGAGCAAATAATTCAAGTTCTCAGCATGAATAACAGACACAAAGCAAAAGGCATTTTAAGAAAAAGAATACAATATTTCATTTTTACATATGTTTTAAGTGAACTGTCTCTTTTTGTTATGTTGTGTATCCTAGCAAGTAGCTAGGATGCAAACCGCTTGGTTTTAAGAAAGCCACAAGTCTGAAGATGTAGCCTTAAGGGATGGCGACTTTCCTACCATGCTTTAGGCTTCCTTCCAATTATTTACTGTTTTATCCATGGATAAAATAAAATAGCCAGCAAATAAAATATGGATATTTCTGGCTTAACATTATTTGCATTTTCTGTGAGCTTTACCGTTTGAGATAACGGAAAACATTGTGTGAAAAATAATAAATCAAAAATTAATTAATCTTTCAATTCAAATTGAATGAATTTGCTAAGAAAACCTTCTTAGCAAATTCATTACATTTCTGGCATAGCAATAATAAAAGTGAAAGCCAATCCAAATCCAAAAACCAAATTATTAAAATAAGTCTTCCTTCCATACCTACATATAAATAATTTTGTAAATATTTTAAGAAAAAAAGTAAAAAATGACACTTTTTTTAAATACCTATAAAGCTACTTTAGCATTTTTGCTGTGAAGACATATCTTGGGAGATATTATTAAATACATTTAATAGTTTCTGTTTGTGTAAAATTTATATTTATGTAGGATAGTTATTGTTTTAAAATCTATCTATATTTCATCCCCTTGTTCAAGGGAGGCGACACACCCTATTAATATGGCGACCTGCAGTATGCCCTTGTAAACAAATATGCAAGCAAATTTAGACTCAACTCAGCATTCCTAGATTCATAAATAAGTTGAATACAGCTTAACAAGTCACATTTTGAGAGTGTTATTTTATTATAAAGCCAGTTATTTATTAAATTGAAATGGATATTATTTATTTAGGAAAATATTCCATATGTCATAAAATGAATTTGGAGGTATTTTTGGAAATGGGTTTATATGTAATGGTTTATTGTTAGCTCCTAGGACGTAGTTGGATTAATATTTTGATTTATAGCTAAAAGTGATTATGTTTTATCATAAATAAATTGATTAAATATATAAAGCTAGCCGGCCGGCACATTTATGATAACAACAACACACACAAAAATTGCACGCATATAGTGAGGAACCTTCTTAGTTATTGAATTTGTGGAGAAAACTAATCACTACACTTATTTCTACTATCTCACAGTTAAAACGACACGAAGCAATTCAAAAAAGAAAGATGTTCCGCAGCCGCAATATCAACGATCGATACAAAACAAACAATTTTAACAAGTTTGACAGCGTTTCTTTTGACGTTTCAGTAGGGACACTAGGGAGGTGATATATGTCTAAACTTCAACTCACAACACTCAACAATTAACGATATTTGCTAATTATGAGGTAGTTATCTGAAGGCGAAGGTACGAACTCTATTTAATACTCCATCAGTTTATGTCAGTAGATCTCAAGTTCCCTCATTTTTTTGTGCGTGGAACATCATCAAATTACGTATCTCGCCCTGGGTGCGGTAAAGTAGATTGACAGACTTTTACTGACTAAAAACACTCCGTTTCGTTTCCTGCTATAGCCAAAGTCAAAAGTCAAAGTCAAAATCATTTATTTCAATTAGACCCATACAGGCACTTTTGAACGTTAAACAAAATTTTTAAGATATAAAGTGTCAGTCTGTCGGTCAGTCCTCTTAGTGAAGCTATTCGCTCGTTCCAAAGTGTAGCGATCCGACAACAACCGTCGGACATTAAACAAAACATAACTAAGATGGAGGATCCTCCCTTTATAATGGGGGATGAGGAACTTAACAACCCACCGGTCCAAACTGTCTATATCCAAATCGATTGCGAAAGTAGTCACCGCCGATCACTTCCATGAGGATACGATAGCGTTCAGCCCAAACACGTCGCCACCGTATACTCCGTGTTCTTCTGGATCCGAAACAGATATCTCTCTCTGGTAGGGGAGAGGACGCCTTGGTGTCCCTCTTGCCTCTCCATTTATCAACGTGCCCGGCCTTCAGTTGTGAATTTGTGATAGTTACCCTCATAAGATCGCGTTGGAGCTCATTCCACCCACTTATAATCGCCGGTAAGCAATGTACCCGCTGATGGACATCGAAGGGTTACAAGCTACTGTCGTCCACTAGTAATTTTACGGGTTGTCACAAAGTTGAGAGTTGGGGATTTGGGGATTGAGAATGGAGGGGAGAGGAGAGGGAGCGCGGTACGGCCTCCAGTTACTTCACAACATAAGCGTTGTTGCACGTTGGTGTTCTATGAAGCCGTGACATTATTACAGTCTAGCCAACACTTATAGTACTGAAGCAAGACTCTCCCTCGCCATTTTATTTTGGTCCTTTTCAAACAACTTTCTCCTTTTCTTGGTATCTGATTGGAAAATACTTATGAAGACTTACAGCCATCGGGGAAGGGCAAAGGTTACTGTCTGACTCTATTTTGTATATTCATATAAGTTACTTGCTGTTTAAAATCGGAATATTTTTTGGATCGTAGTTGAGATTCACATGTATGAATAGTTTAATAAATTAATTTTTGACTCATCTATTTCAGTGATTTTTAGGTAAATATACTATTCAAAATAATAAAGAATCGATACATTATACGAGTATAACTTGCCAATCCCTAGTGACAATGAAAATATTGCTAGTCGAAATATTTTTTTTTTGGGATGATATTCTCGTTATGCTGAAAATAGATGTGCCGGCAGTCCTATCATTGGTAACATCGTATTGATATTTCATTTGTACATCATCAAGTGTTTGTCAAAAAGTTCAATGATTTAGCGATTGATTATTTTCGTGATAGTGGTAAACATTGCTGTTGAGAATTCAAAAAAAAAATATTTGTTGGAAAATTAAATAAAGATTAGTCAAACAATAAATATTATTATTACTGTTGATCAGTTTTCATATATTATTAAATAGTAGATTGATTTTTAATGAATGGTAATGGTAGCAAATGAGAATGACTAAGCTTCTAAAATTCTGACCTGGCAACATTCAACGATAGCTGTCATCATATGACTTAAGATAGCTCTGATTCACTGTTTATTACCACTAGATGGCACTGCTGTACCAGACTGTACAGCATAGGGATTGAAACGGATTGAAACCTTTTATCAAAGAGTATGTAAACCTAACGGCCTTTTATTCTTGCTGTCTTTTCTATGAATCCTACAAGTATGAGTTGTTTATATTAATAAAAATAAGCCACTTTAGACTAACACGAGGAAAACTGCTTTACAACAAAAAATTGTAATATAACATCACACTTTTTGTTTGTCAAAGGGGCGGGCAGAAATATTCTATCAATTATTTAGTACGTATAGACTGACTATGTTCAACATCGGGTTGAAATCAGATTCGTAGAGGATTTAGAGATCCCGTGTCCTGACCTAGACCTACCTATGTAATTCTAGCTTTGAGCAGTCGCACGAATAGGTCAGCAGTCCACCTACTCCTTGGGACAAGTATGGAAATCGCTTTTGTCCTTTTTATAAATACTTAATACCAAAGCTTAAATAATACAAATAGCTTTGGAATGTTTCAAAAGGTGATCCGACAGAGAACTAAAGTTATCGACATACCCCAAAGGATTAGCAAACTGAAGTGGCAGTGGGCAGGTCACATCTGTCGAAGAACCGATGACCGCTGGGGTAAACGTGTTCTAGAGTGGAGACCACGTCTAGGCAAACGTAGTGTAGGGCGCCCTCCAGCTAGGTGGACTGACGACATCCGCAGGCTGGCTGGCAGTGGTTGGATGGGAAGAGCTGAACATCGAGATCAGTGGCGTGCGCATTCATTTGTTCCGTTATATAGGAAATCTGTGAAAACAATTGGACGTCCATTCCTCACCCTCACCTCAATCCTTAAATATCTGAAAACCTTATCGCCAAAAGACTGGCAACGGACTCGTAACTCCTTTGGTGTTGCGGGTGTCTAAGGGAGGGCCGATTGCTTACCATCAGGTAATGCGGGTGCTCGTTTGCCGACCTATCCCATAAGACTCGTTAGTCGGCTACTAATAAGTGGCCATTACTATATAAAGGAACTGAGTTATTAAAGTACTTGTCACTTAGACACACTGCAAATAATCTTCGATAAAACTTTAAAAATTAACCATATTTGTGAATTTTGTTAATGACTGCAAGGTTGGCAACTGGCTGCCATACGTTTTGTGAGTTCGATTCTCACACGGAACTACTTCTTATTCGTGATTTTATGTGTTTGTAAAAGCACTCACGATACATCAGAATGTCAACAAGTGTCGCCGTCCGCAGACCCGCGCTTATAGTGGCTGGAGTTCATTCCTCGATCCCGTTAGATACTAAGGCGACTGGGGCATAAGGGGCACAGTTCATCACGTGCTCCACGAGATGGCTTTCCAGTTCCTCTCGCTCCTCACTATGGTCCCGACTAAGGCCAGACGCGAGAGGTCGCCGGCGCCGATCACAGAACCATTTAAAGACTAAAAACTACCCCAATTCCTTCCTCTTTTCCGAGTCGAGGCTGCGGTACATTATTGGGCTCGGGTGAAACTGAAACTCCGGCAGCGCTTAACCGACCAGAAATAAGTTCATTACGCCTTTTTTGAAGCACCATATGCTGTGGCTCGTGTGGAGTTCATGTCATAATCTGACCCTTAGTTATAGAGTATTAACCACCATACTCTTTTTTTATGTGATAGGTCGGCAAACGAGCTAACGGATTACCTGATGGTAAGCAATCAGCGTCGCCCATGGCGACCATGGCAACGGAGGAGTTACGAGTGCGTTGTCGACCTTTTAGGGATTAGGGATTTGGAGATATTGGGAAAGGGAACGGATTGGGGTAGGTAGGGCGAAAAACAACTCCTGGGTGAAACAACCACAGCGTTGTGTTTCGCCCGTGTGAATGAGGTTACTGGAGGCCACGTCCTTCCCCTCCCCTAATACGTAAATCTGTAAAATCCTAAACACCAAAAGGACGGCAATGTACTCGTAACTCCTCCGTTGTTGCGGGTGTCCATTGGCGGCGCTGATTGCTAACCATCAGGTAACTAGGCTGCTCTTTGCCGTCCTATCACACAAAAAAGGTACTCACTCAACAAACGAAACGACGTTTTACAAACGCCCAACGTAATTTGATTTCAGACTACACGGATATTCTTTATGATTATAGCTCAATTTATACTGGTATTTAGAAATAAGAATGATTTTAAACTCAAATGAGAATTTCATAATATTTATTACGAGTGAGGGACTTTTTTTTGTAAACGAAATGTCTCTTTCAACTTATTGCTGTAAGTTGTATATTAATTTTGCATACCATTTTGCCTAGGGCTTGTTAATAAATATCATTTGAGCAATATCATGTCCGTGGAAATACGTTAGACTCAAAGCTTTAATATTAAAAGCACAGAGGCAATGTTAATGTGAGAGTTAGCAAATAGTTATTTTGATGTCATTAAAACGTTGAAAATTCAACAAAATTCTGGAAAATTCTACAAAAGATATTACAACATAATATGTCGTTGTGGCTCGGAGGCTAGGGCGCCCGTTTCTCGATGCGGATGAGGGTTCGAAACATGGCAAGCAGTACCAATGTGACTTTTCTGAGTTATATGTATCTACTTTCTATGATAATTTAGACACTACAGACAAACGATTATGGAAAACATCGCGAGGAAACCTTTTGTAAGGACGGACAGACGGATTACCTGATGGTAAGCAATCAGCGCCGCCCATGGACACCCTATTGCCTATACACCTTATTGGAGAAATTTAGAAATAAAAACACAACGTCATTCAACTAAAAAAAATATTGGATTTAATACCTTAAGATGTATTGCATAAGAGTGTTAGTATTTCATAATCATAGCATACCGCGTCCATTTTGTGCTTAGGTAAATATTACATTTTCAAACCGTGGCACGGGCTGGACATATTCAAAGGTATGTAATCATACGATTCTAGGAAATTAACACCATATGGGGAAAATCTCCACTGTATTATATATTAGGTATTTCTATGTTTGTAGTGGGAATCTCTACTAAAGTCTGCACAGGATTTTCTTTCAGATAGGTATATCTTATTGAATGTAAATTATATTATAAAATATCTAAGCAAATACTCATAATACTAGGGGTATTTCAAAGGATACTACGGTATGATCTTTGAGATTATTTGCTGTTTAGTAACAAGGTCTTTTATATTCGGGTAAAGGAATGAAATTCATATTAATATCGTGTATTACACATGCAGTAAAGCTCAATATGGCGTTGACGTGGGTGGATGCTGA